ATGATAATTTCATGATGAATATCTCTTAACGGCATACAGCAAATAGAAAATCATTTGTTCAAAAAATCTACTGTATCTCAGTAAGAACGAGAGTTTGGCATTTGACCCACTCCCATCCAACTCCCTGAATTCACCTTGAGGGAACTGAGCAAGAATGGGGCAGATTGAGGACACCTCATGACTTCTAGTTTGATGTTGTAGATACTTTATTTCAGGCAATTTAGGTCAAGAAAGCTCCCTTCTGGACCTCACTGGTGGTGTAGGGATTAAGTCTCAGCTTTATCGCTGTGATGGGGTGGGCCCACCTTGGTGGCCTTAGTTTGATCCTACAAGGAGCTCACCCACATGGCACAGCAGACCTCACCAGTCTTGCCTGTTCTGCTCCCTACTCTGTCTCTGGTGAATCCTTTCACCCCCCCTGAACCTCTGGCTAACAATCAAGCTCATTTGTATGTATGTATGTATGTATGTATGTATGTATGTATGTATAAATAAAATCTTTTAAAAATTAAAAAAAAAAAAAAAGAAAGCTCCCTTCTTCGTTTAGCTTACTTCATTACAGTATAGTCCAGGTGCAACAGGCTAAAAGTACTGGGCCCAGTTGCCCTGTACCAAGCTTCATTCATAAGGCAGTGGTGCCATGCCTTATGAATTGCTTCCAACTGCCTGCCTACTAACTGTTGTGTTAGCTTTTTTAGCAAGTCTTCCATCCATTATAGAGTACAGATGTTACTCACAGAAATGGTTCACCGTCCCATCCTCAGTTCCAGTGCAGTGTTACAAAAGATATTCTGAAGGGAGGGGCAGATAGGCAGACCTTAAGAACAGAAAATGCTAGCTCTCCTAAGGCAACTGACTTTATTTGGAACAGAACTTGCAATAAAGGTGTTGAAAATAAGTAAGGGGTCTCCCTAGTGGCACAGGGGGTTAAGCACAGCACTGTGAAGCTATCCACAGCCTCTGGAGTTTGATCCCTGGCCTGCAAGGGAGCTTGGCACAGCAGAACTCTCCTGTCTCGCCCGCTGCTCCCCTCAGCAGTGCCTGTTCTGTTCCCTACTCTGCCTCTGGTGAATCTTTACACCCTCTGCACCTCTCTGGCCTGTACCCCAGTTCTTGTATGCATAAATAAATAAATCTTCAAAAAAAAGTAAGATCTTTGTGACAGTTAAGAAGAAACAGCTAGCTTCATGATACTGGTAGCTACAAGTGGAAATGGCAGGCCAGTTAGAGATCCAGATAAAAAGATAGTTAAGAAGAACCCTGCTAGGCAACATGGATGGCGCTGGAAGGGATCATGCTCAGCGAAATAAGCCAGAAAGAAAAAGAAAAATACCGGATGGTCTCACTCATAGCAGGAATCTAGAAAACTTAAATAAGAGGCCAGGATAAAGAATAACTATAAGAAAGTAAAAATCAAAATCAACAAACAACTATGAACCAGAGACACTCTGTGGGGGGTGGGGGGCGGGGAAAGGAAGGTTTGGGGTCAAAATAAGGGGGTTGCAATTGTATGGGGAATATAAAAATAAAATTAAAAACTCAAAAAGAAAAAAGAAAAGAAGAACCCTGCTAGGGTTTGAGCAAGCTTCAAAGACTGACATTCTCCTTTTGCAAAGAGCCCCCACTTTATTGTATCAGACTGTGGTGCAGTTTATTCCCAGGGAATGACAAAAACAGTCAAACAATGAATGAAGGCTCACAGCTCCATTTCATACCATTTCAAGGCATATAATCCAAAGTCTTATAAAGGGGAGACCAAAGAAAGAAACTGCCAAAGAGGGGTCCATCTGGACCCACAGCCATGCCTGGTGAACAGGGCAACTGCATGTGCTCAAAATAATATCCTCTGAAAAGTGATACCAGAGATTGAACACTGCTGCGGAATAGACTTTAGTGAGCTAGAGATAAAGAGGGACATTTGCTAATGATGAAAGGATCAATCTGTCAAGAAGATATATTTATATATCCTCATCTAACAGAGCCTCAAAATACATGAGACAAAATAATACAGAATTGAAGGGTGAAATAATTTAGTAACAGTTGGACAGTCCACTTTAAATAAGGGATAGAACATCTAGACAGAAAATAGCAAAGGCGGGAGACTTAACAATTCTGTAAATTAATTAGATCTAATGTACATCTGTAGGACATTCTACCTAACAAGTGCAAAATACTCATTCACAAATGCATATTTGAGAATATTCTCCAGGAGAGACTATATGGTAGAACATATATTTTTTTAAAGATTATTTATTTATTTATTTATGCATACAAGAGCTTGAATATAGGCCAGAGGTTCAGGGGGATGAGAGGATTCACCAGAGACAGAGTGGGAAACAGAACAGGCAGATTGACTGAAATACACTGCTGAGGGGAGCAGTGGGCGGGACAGGAGAGGTCTGCTGCCCCATGTGGGTTAGCCTTTATGACTAGTGATTTTTCAAAGGAAGTTCAACCACTTCCTTATACCAGATAAAGACATTACCTTGAAATGAATGTAGACCTAAAAGTAAGTCCTAGAACTATAAAACTCTTAGAAGAAAACATAACAAATCTTCACAAACTTAGGTTAGCAAATAGTTTTTGAGATACACCATTGTGCAAATGTAAAAAAATCAATTGGAATTCATTAAAATTAAAAACTTTCATACTACTAATAGCAGCATCAATGAAGTGATAAGATTATTCACAGATGGAAGAAAATATTTGCAAACTATATCTGATATAGGCTTATACCCAAAATATGTCAAGAATACTTACAACTCCACAACAAAAAATGTAGTCTGACCAATTAAAAATTGGGTAGGGCATGTGAATACACATTTCTCCACAGAAGATATTTAAACATATGAAAAGAAAAATATTCAACATAGTAGACATTAGGGAAATGCAAAGCTAAACCACAAGATACTGTTTCTTATGTGCTAGGATGGGAATAATAAAAATGTGTACAAGAATGTGGAGAAATTGGAACCCTCATTGCTGTTAGGAATATAAAATGGTCCTGCTTTGGAAAATTAATTGGTTCTCAAAATGGTAAACAGAACTAACATAATCTAAATATAACATAATTCCATGTATGTGGAATGTCCAGTATAGGCAAGTCTTTAGAGACAGAAAGTATAATGGTTGCCTAGGTTTGGAGCAAAGAGGAAAGTGGAGATCGACTGTAAGCAGGTTTTCTTGGGGGAATGAAAATGTTCTAAAATTAGATCATGGTGATAATTCCTACTGTGTGTATACATTAATGGCCTTTAGAATTTTGTACTTTAAATGGGTGAAGTGTATGGTGTGGGTTTTATAGCAATAAAATTATTTAAAATCAAAACAAGCATGACTATAATTGCTGTGAACCACTTGAAAGTAATCTGTACATTACAGAGTCCCCATTGATAGAAATTGGTTAATTGATTTTAAAAGGAACATGCCTCATCTGTCTTACTAAGGCTAAGCTGGTTACTCTGTGTTACTTTAGATTAAGAAGTAAGCCTGAATGCTGCATTAAAAGTGAGTTAAGTGTAGATATTCTCTTCAAAGCCTGATTTTAAACTGACTGAATGTGGGACTGAGGCGTTTAAGTATACAATTGAGGATTTCAGTGGACTCTTTAATATCTGTTCCTAATACTTTTATATGTTAAATCTATATAAAAGGGATTATTGTATTGCTTTATTATAAAAAGTTAATTTTCTTAATAATTTCTGCTGTCCATAAAGAAGTGTTGGCAAATACAACTAATAAAGGTTTTTGTAATGATTTGCAATTAAGAAAACTAAATTGTGTGGCAAATATATCTTATATAGAAATATTAAGGCATCATTGTTTTAGTTTGAGTATGCAGTTTTTTATATTCATTTACAATATACAGTTGATGCTAAATGTGCCATTGCAAAATACATATTTTGTATAAACATACGTACAAAATACAAAGACATACTGATGGCAGTTTGAATGATCGGGAAATCAGAGAAAGCAGGTCACACATATCATTGGGTATATTTAAAATGTTCAAGGAAATCTTTTGTGGAGTATGACATGCCTTCACTGTCTTGTTTAACTTCCCGTTTTAGTGCCAAAATATGTCCCTGTTTTTCCATTTAGAATATTTGCACCTTTCCCATGATACAAGTAAATGCACATGTTGATGCATCATAGTGATTTGAAATAAGTAGTATATACCAGAACGTAAAAGACACACTCTGCACCACTTTATACTCTTTATTTTCTATTATCATACTTTTCTATTTATTTTTTAGCAACATGAATAGAAGTGCAAAGCATTGTCAATCTAGTTCCATTCTCTTGCAATCTGGAGCAGGTTCTGAGTCTTTGGGATGACATTAGTGCAGCATTTTGAAATTTTTTGACCAGGACCCCCATGTTTATGTTAAAAGCATATTCAAGTGTGAGTGTATTTGTGTGTCTGTATTCTGTGTGTGCACATGTATGCAAATATATACACACATACACAAGTTTAAGAGAGACCAAAAAAATTTATCTTTTACTAGTTTTGACTTACTAAATTCACAACCCACTTTAAGATTTAAGAATTAAGAATTCAGATCTTTTCAAGTTTTACCTTCTGATGGCCCTTTAGAAATGTTTATTTTTGAGTCTGATGAAGTTTTATACTAGGAGGACAAACACAGTTCTCAAATAAGATTTGGGGTTTAAGGTATCATCAGAGTTGAGTTGGCTGTGAACTATTGATTGCTATAGTGTAACAGTATTTTCTGATGCTTAGGGACATGTTCCCCTCAAATACTTACAGAGTTTAACTGTAAATTAAAAAATGTAATTTAAAAAATGGGTTAAAAACCACCCAAAGTATATTTTTATTCTCACTTTGCTTTTTATACTTTTGTAGAGTTTTTAAATACTTATATTAAACTCACTTGCCTTACCGATCATTAATATTTGCCTTTGATTTTGTATCTGTGCTTTATGGTATTGAATGGGGAAAGATTTTTGTGCAAATATTTTACCAAATATTTTTGCAGGGACACTTAGTCGGTCTGGATGAACCAGCTTCGGGAGCTGGGCAAGAAGCTCTGCTTAAACAAGAGCAAGCAAAAATCATTCGATTCGAGAGACAAGCAGAAGAATTCCTCAATGCAGTCTTTTATAGAAAAGGTTGGTTCCAGTGAAGAGTTGACATTTAGCACCTGCTTGTCTTCTATTAATCTCCTTAATTTCAATATTTTGCAAAAAAATTATTTAAAAATTTTCTCTTTACTAATAATATACCTTATATTCCTTTTGCCAAGTTATTGATAAATTTGGAATAGAGTAAGGCAGCCCTTCCCTTCTGTTGGCTCTGAAGTGATGGTGCCTTATGAGTGTAATAGTTCTTAAAATTATAATGAAAGTCTGAAAATTGTGTAGACTTGGTAGAAACTTTCTTTTACATGACTAGTTACTATTTTAATTACTGATAACCATAAAAGTTATTTCTTAAAATTAGATTTTTCTTCTTAACATAGTCTTCTTTAACTAAAAATGTTTTAATTATTAAATTAGAGGGGAAAATTTCTATGTATTAAAACTCCTATACATTGAAGTGGCATTTAATAACATCACCTCTTGGGTTTTTCATTTATTCTCCCTGAAGCTTATATTGATTTGTTTTATATTTCTTTTGAAATAAAAATATTTTTTTCCAATCACAGCATGTTGGGGTTTGTAAGTTCTTCATGGAAGCATTAATTTCTTTTTTCTATACATGAAGCATAATTGCCATCCACCAAAATTCTAAGTAGATTTTTATTTCCTTAATTATACCTCCCCTTTAGTTCCAAGTTGGAGGTTATTATGTAACAGGCTCTAAAAATGTTTTCTTCAAGTTCCTGATAATCCTGAATATATTTAATCTTCAATGACTCAGAGATACCACTTTTTAAAAAAAAGTTGTTACATTCTAGTTGATATCTCTCACTCCTCTGTAAATTCTCTCCTACCCTCTAAAGTTGAAGGGTATAATGTCTGTACACTGGTTAAAAGTCTGAGAAATACTGATGGTAATGAACTGGTTAAAGTTGAAAACCAGCTTTTCCTTAATATGATACTGCCCAATAGTTGGGCAGTATCAAAGGAAATATGAGATGAAGTGTCATAAAATTAAGAAATGCACAAGATTATTGTTTTCAGTGGCACTATTTTTTCTCATTCAATTTCTTCCATCAGATCATGCTGCAGAATTAAATCTTTTAATATGTTTTTACTTCTTTTTTAATGCCCTCTGACGGAAAGCTCCCAAATGGGGTACCCATTAAGCATCCTGAATTCCAAATTGCTATTATGTTCAAAATAGCAATTTTTAAATCTTAGGTATGTTCGATTATTTTATTGAAGTAAATCACCTTTAAAGTATAAATGGTTGATTAGATCACTACTTTTCATTAACCAAAAGATCTTTACAGCTCCTGCTGCTACTCTCCTTTAGAATTTTACTGGGTCTGGAGTCTAAAATTATATAGCAGATTTCATTATCCGAAAAGAGGAATTCCTCTCCCTAATTTACATGGAGGAACTATTTTTCATCTACTCTTTGTTTAGGAGTTAATAGTCATAAGCAGATTCCTAAAGAGAATTCCACCTACTAGTACCATCCTTTGTCATGGAGAAATAACATTAAAGTTCTTATTAAGTTTCCTTATTTCAGAATTAAACTTTAGGACACATAATCTTTGACAGGGAGGAATTCTTATTTTGTAATTAATCTCACTAAAGACTTAAAGAAATGAGAATCCTCTAAAATAATGTGTAGTTAAAGTTGTATATATGTCTATATATTTGTTTCTGATGCTTAGGAAAAGAACTGTGGCTTTGCAATTGGAAGTTTCTTCCTCCTTGCTTTATGTATTAATACTGTTGATGATGTCTCAAAAAGATAGGTATTCATACTTTTCAAATTAATACAGAAGATGCTTAGTATCCAGAGATATGACAAGCAACTTTGTCTATGTGGAATACTTTGTTTTTAATAGAAAATTTTAATTTATTCCTTTATGTCCACATATTGCAAAAAACTGAAATTTTGTGATAAACATCTTTAAACACTTCTAAAGCAGTGTGGTTTGGAGTAAAGGTCATGTATAGAACATTAAAATCTGGGTGAGAGTTTTCATCAAGGGTTACCACTCTATATACCCATTATAATTATCGTAATTGAGTATGAAAAGGTTACTGTCTGTTAGGTAGAAAAATAGATGCAATAAAAATAGACTTTTGTGATCAGGGACTCTAATAAAGTCTAATTTTAACAACCATATACCTTCTATAACTATTATAATCATTTCTTTTCAGCTTACTTTCTTGCTTGTGTTAGAAAATTTGACACTTTCCTAAGTTAGATTTACATTAAAACTTACAGGTGGCTTTGATGTAGCATTTACATGTTTTTTTCTATAGTTTCAATTTAATCTGACATTGTTTTCACTTGACTGGATTGTTCATGTTCCCCTAAGCATAGCTATGTTTAGAGATACTGTTTTTCAAATAAGTGGAATAATGAAATATGTTCAGGAAACTTTCAAAAGATGTGGAAATTCAAATGACAAAATTGCTGTTGGTTCATTAGCATAAATCTTGTCTCATAGTTGCATTCATTCAACTGAGGCAAAATATGCTGGAGGCATTTAAAGCTCAAATGTAGCCATTAATGGTCTTTCTCCTAAAATCTTTTATGCCTCACAAGTCTTTACTTACTAGTGTAGTTATAACAGGCCATCGCATAAATACTTCATTTTGTTTCATATTTGGAAACTTTGTGTTTTCTATGTTTCCCAAATTTTGAGAGAATAAAAAGATACACCAATATATTAAATTTTGAAATTCTAGTCAGTCTTTCATTTGGAGGGAAACCAGTGGGTAAAGAGATTTTAAAAATAATGTATGGCTAAGATATTTATTAAAACATAATAGGAACTATTGTCAGTGAATGTAACTTCTTAACCTTCCCTAATTGAACATACTTTTTCTTAAACCATCTAGCATATTCATAGTTTCTATTTATACAGTGAAAGCTTAGGGTTAGAAGTACTATTTTAGTAGAGCAGAAATACTATTAGTAGAGTAAGCCTTGCTAAAACTGCAGAGAAGTAAATATTCTGACCATTTTCTGGTATGAATATTGTCCTTTAAGGACAAAATTCTGTTGGTAATAGTTCAGTGAGATTTTGATATGTTTGCTTGTTAAGAAGATTTTAATACTAAAGAGCTGATTTATAAATCAGCATAAATCCTTACAGCTCCAAAATAGTATGTGTAGACTAATTTACCTTCTTATAGTTAACATTTAAAAGACTAAGGAAACTGAAATTTTCTGATAACCATCTTCAAACACACTTCTAAAAAAAGTATGCTGTGGAATAAAGGTCATAGGTGGAACATTAAAATCTGGATAAGAGTTTTCATCAAGGGTTACTACTAAACCATCTAGTCAAATTTGAAGAGGGCATTGACTATTTAGGTCAAGCACACCTTCCTCATTTGTTCTTGAAAATTAAATAAAAAGCTTATTACTCAAATAATACGAATGTATACTTTACACCAAATGAGATTAGGTGCTGAATATAGAGAGGTAAATTTTCAATAACCATAGACTCCCTGATAGTATGGTAATAAAAGGTGATAATAATATATTTATACGGTACATTTCCCCTTTATTTCATCAAACCATTTGACCTGTAAGTCTCCTAGTGGTGAAAGTTCTTTGAGTTGGTGAATTCATATGGTCTTTACTTTTAAATTGACATTGATTAGAAATTGATAACTTAAGTGTTTATTGTTTAACCTAGCTCTCTGTTTAGTGGTTGAAAGCAAATATTTAAAGGACTCCTGGAAAATATATGGATGTTTAAACTCCTGACTCAGAGACTGTAAAGTTGTAGTCCCCTGACCATCAACACTTAAAAACTTACTAGAATTTCAAGTTCATGAGCTTAGTTTAGAGATGCTGAATCAGTAAAACTGAACCATCAATTTTTATAAGCCCTCAAAGTGGTTCTGATGAATCACTGAATGTTAAAACTATTGCCCCAATATATCATGGATCTTAATATTTAAGTATTTACTTTCTAATTTTGGTATGCCTTTAGTCTTTAACAAAAAGCAAATTAAGTAGCCATTAACTAAATAATCCATTCAACAATTTAAGGAGAAATGAATAAGGAATAATCTAGGGAAATCAGAGGTGATCTATAGGTGGTAAATAGGGGGGTAATTTCATAAGAGAAGGGTTTTGGGATTTCACTATCAGGTAAGTAATTTTTGCCCATAAGAGACACTCTTTGTTATCCCTTTATTTGATTTCATAATCGGTGGGTATGGGTATGAGCAGGGAATATGTAGAAATAAATTTATGAAAAATTTATTTTTAAAATCTATGACATATAAGGTTAGAGATGAACAATGTAATTATGAGGGAATACTATTTTAGGATAATGTATTTTAAGGAAAAATAAAATGAAATTTTGTGTTTGCTTGAAAGCTGTCTTTTTTTAGTACATTGTCCCACTTTAAAAGTAAATAAATCTTTGTTCGCAGACAGTCCCTGGGTCTCCGACCCCAATATTCCCCTAGTGGCCCGTGAGATCATGCAGCGAATGATCCAACAATTTGCTGCTGAATATACCTCAAAAAATAGCTCTACTCAGGACCCCAGCCAGCCCAATAGCACAAAGAACCAAAGCCTGCCGAAAGCATCTCCAGTCACCACCTCTCCCACGGCTGCAACTACTCAGAACCCTGTGCTCAGCAAACTTCTCATGGCTGACCAAGACTCACCTCTGGACCTTACTGTCAGAAAGTCTCAGTCAGAACCTAGCGAACAAGGTATGGTTTGATGTCAAGGTCTCCTCTGTCCAGTCAGAATTCTTTAATTTGGGGAGAAGAAATTATCAGCAAGAAAGGCACCAGTATCAATGATAGGATTAAATAACATTGTGATTTGTGGGTCTGATGTAACTAATCAGTGAAGGAGGAGTGCAGCTATATTAGTTACCTTACCCATCAGTACACAGTGATGATTAATGTACCACCCAGTAAAGTTAGGTGGTTACAGTTACTGTACTTTAAGTTACTTGATGTTTATATAAACTTTCCAAAGTATTGTCATAGCCATTGTTGTTAAGAGCCCTATGAGAAAAGTTTTTCAACTCTTATCCATCATTGTTGTAGAATCAGCATTTATCGGAGAAATAAATGTGCTTGTTAGGTAGACGATACTCTGCAAATGAGATCATAAGGCAAAAACACATATTTCCATAAAAAAAAAACCTAAGGTTAAAAATAAAGAGAAGACAAACACTTGAAGTTAAGTGCATTCAGTATTTTATAAAAAATAGAAAAACTTGCATACCTTCACTGTATTATAAATTAGAGTATTTCCAAAAGATAACTTTTTGGTAAGAATCCTAATTCATGAATGAAGAGGTTAAGGGGTTTTCAAATTTCTTGAGTCTTTGCAAAGTTTACCCTCTTAGATAGTATTGCTCCTTTTGCTTTGTGATCTCATTTTATCTTTTATTTTAACAAAGATGAATTGAACATTGCAACTCTATTGTTGTTTGTACACTATAAATTGGTGATGTCTGAAATTTTATTGACATAGAAATCTCATGAGAATTTTGCAGAATGGTTATGAGATGTGTGGACTTACTGGTGAGAAATAACTTTATTTTACAAAATATAATTCTTAGATTTATGAAAGGACTTTCTTTGATTTATTATAAGTAATTTATAAAGAATTTACATAATGGACTGGCTTTAGTTGCTTATTAAAGAATATAGTTTCTGAAGTTTTCCTTTGAGGTTTTTTTCTGTTTCTGTATAATGAACAGCAAGCAAAATTTCTAAGTTCTAAGAAATTATCAAAAAGGAGACTACCTAGTTCACATTGATCAGTGCATCTTTGGTTACTTCTTACTGGTCTATTAAGGATTGTTTACTCTTTTATTGAGGATTGGTGACTTTTGTTAAAAATCTTTCTACTCTAATTATTTTATTAAAAGCTTTGGGTTTGCAATAGGAGAATAATAGCATAGAAACTGTATTTATAGTATTAGTAATAGAGATTAACATACAAAAATTCCACTTAGTCTAATTTAACTTCTTTTAGTTATTGTTGTCTCAGAGCTTATGTTTGACAACATACACTTTATCAAAAGAAATTTGAATTACAGACTTCAAATGGAACATTTTTAATGAATTTTACTGAATTTTCAGCTTAAATCATAGTGATTTTCATTATTTAAAGTATGTTGTCTATTTAAATTAATTTTCATGTCTTTAATATTATCTTTGGTTGGAAATATGTTAAACAGTGCATTTGCTTGTTAGATATCCAAGTGGGTTAGATGTCTAATAAGATACTTGCTTGGTTCTATAAGATTACAATTTTATGTTTTAGAAATAATTAGTAAGTCTAAATGACAGCATTTACTCTGTGAGAGTGTGGGCTTTCCTTTAACAGCCCAATATAGGACATTATAATGTCAGACATAAGTCAGAAGTAGGTTCCATACTAAGGTAGTTTTTAACATTAAGTACATAGTAGATCTTTTCTGCTGGCCAACTGAAAATCAGTGGCATATGTCAAAGGGGGGAAAGCCTGTTCTGATATGAATTTGTGATTTGATCTAACTTCAGTAAACCACAGTAAAACCTCTAAATTCTCCTCAGTATCAAGACTATTTAATTCTTCTTTCTTAAACTTTGTCCACCAATTTAGAATTGCTTGTGAATAAAAAACCTTGCCTTCATAAATTTCACAAAGTGACCTTTGTATCTCTGTAGATGATTCTAAAAGATTATATCCAAATACACAGTTTTTTCATTTGTTGTTTTTTGTTTTTTGCAAATGAGTCTAAAAGAGTATTTAGGAGCCTTACAAATTACAGAGTTAAAAACCAATTCATCTTATGGACTGTCTCATATAGTATATGTTTGTAATTCATTCATAAACTTACTATTTAAGAAAACACTTGTATCTAAATCCAACTTTTATGTGCTTTTAGTGTTTTGTGTAGACTTAGCTCTTTACGGATATGGTTTTGTGGTTTGTATGCCATTGTGGCCTTAAAAACTCACACTTTAGGTAAATTTAGAAAATGAAGTCTAACAATTCTTATTGCAAGACCCCCATACTATCTAGACAGCTGTTTCTAATATCTTACTTCATCTTAACATCTTTGTGATATGCCTTTTGCCCTATTAATAAAATATTTAACCTTTGTAGAGACTAGATACAATAAACTTTGCCAATTTTGCATTGCTTCAGGAGGGGGAAAAATCCTGATTTTTATTAATGAATTGATTTCATATTTCAAGTATATGACCAGTGTATCTACTTAGTTGGCTAGGTCTACTGTTTTGTCGTTTTTAGCCTATTTGATTCACACTTAACTCCTACTTTTTCATATCCTCAAGTGTTTCTTTGTGTCTCTACAGACGGTGTACTTGATCTTTCCACTAAGAAAAGTCCATGTGCTGGCAGCACTTCCCTGAGCCATTCTCCAGGCTGCTCCAGTACTCAAGGGAACGGGTAAGGGAAAACATTTGTAGCCTTCCAAAGCTTTCTAGAGAACAGTTATCAAGAGCAAATCCAGTCTCCCTTACATGTTTTAAAAATCCTTCAGAATAACACTCTTAAAGGTGAGCTTTTCTAAGATGACTTTTAGTCCATCAGTCAGGTAAAAACAATATGTGAGATATAGAATTGGCTAGTATAGATCAATTTAGTATAGACAACAAATAATTAGGAAGACGCAAGAATATCTTTGGACTTTTTGTTGTTGAGAGTGTGGAAGTGTAAAACGCAGCCAAAATAATTTCAGAGTGCAGATGTAAAGGCAGTATTATGTGTTCTAAAGTTGTTGAATGAAAATTGAACTCCTGTGTGTGTGTGTGTGTGTGTGTTTTGGGGGAATGGTGTTTGGTTTGTTTTTTTTTTGTTTTTTTTTTCTATTTGCTTTGTTTGTTGATTTGAACTGCAATTTTAATTGTGTGGCAGTTCAGAAAATGTGATTGTATGTTGTTTCTTTTTTTTTTTTTAAGTAATTAAGACTGGTTGTAGTTTGTGATGGTTAACCAACTTATACTGTCAAGGCGCTATTCCATCCTCAGTTTTGATAACTCTTAGAACACGAAAGTTTCTCATCACTTAATTCCACAGTGTAAGAATTGTCTAATTCTCCATCTGTGTATACATAGTAACCATTTAGAAAAGTCATTAATGAAAATATTTAGCTGCCATATTGGGAAAGAATTTCCATAAAATTGTGTTGTGACTAAAAATTGACTTCATCTAGATATGAAAGATTAATTTGATAGCTTAGTTTTTAAATTTATTTAACTTTAGAGAATATCAACATGGGAGAAATAAGTACATATTGAATAAGCTAACCTTTTTCAACTTACTCAGTTACCTTCAAATTGAAGGATTCCTTTACTGACTTCTGAAATGTTCCCTTTATTTTCTCTAAAATTTCATCATTTTTCTTTTTCTCTCTTCCTTATTTCAAGTTTAAAAATAACAACCATTTTTGCATTGTTTACTAATCTTTTTTCCTTAAGTTTTTCTTTTCATTGTAGTTTATATTAAAGTCATTAATGTACTAAATCATTGCATTCCATTTATATATTCAAAAAACTTGAGTTGTATAAAGACACAACTGGAGAATACTAAAACATGGTTTGCATAAATGAAACACTTGCTTAAGATTCACTTTAAACTTGGCCATCAGGTCCATGTCTCATATGGTTGAAGTTGCTGTGTTTATCCCTCTGATTGGAAAGTTTTTTATGTGGTATTGTATTCTGGAAGACCAAAGCACCGTCAGTACTGCCCATCTCTTAGTTGGATATTCATTGCTATCCTTATTATGTTATTTACTGATAACAGCACAGCATCCCTGTAGAATTTTGGGAAATGTAGCTGGTTTATCATTATTTTTGCAAAATTCTACTTTTGTACCTAGTCAATGTAATTTATTCCCCTTAGGCATGCTTTACCAGTTACCAGTTTTGTCATTGATAATCTTTTCTTCATAAAAATGAAAACCATATGAATTAATTTTGTGTAAATAGTTGACTTTTTAAACACATTTGAAAGCTATTCACTTACACATTTCAAATTTGACATTCGATATTTTAAGAAGAAAAGTTTATTTCTAACTAAAGAAAACTACAAAACTGCTTATATACCTCTGTCAATAATTTGAGTAGAACTTAAGGAACAAAGTTTTGGGGGAATATAAAAGGTAATTTCTTAAAAGCTTGGGTTATTGCAAATGGAGAATCAGTGGTACACATCTGTATATACTCATCTGATAGTGTTTTAAAATTAAGTATATGGTAAGTTATAATGTGATAGCTATTTTGGTTGCTTTAGTTTGGGGCTTTTCCTCCTTGGAACTTGCAGCCATTTTTCCCCCCAAGCAGAGTAAGAAATGTTATTTGGAGTTGTTTTGTTTTTGATAATAAACATCAGCTTGTTTGTGGACTAAATGAGCACTTATCTATGGGTTCCACCAATGTAAATGGTTCCAGTTTTATAGCTGGTTGTCATGAGTGTTGAAAATGTTGACTAAAATAAATAATTTGGCTTACTCTTTTATTACTGTACTTGTTTAGTGGTAACGTCACATTGGTATCACAATTCTGTGTAGATCTATGGAGACTTGATGATTTCTTTGTAAATAATAATTAAGGTGCTATCTTCAGACAGTTGCGCGAAACTTTTTCTCCGAAAATTTGTGAACCCAACCAGAGACCAGCAGCTGACAGGTTTAATTTTTCTTTGCCCAAAAAGCTCCTGTTTTTTTTTTCTTTTTTTTTTCTTTTTTCCTTTTTTTTTTTTTGTGAACAAGTTTTAAAACTAACTGCTGAGCCACTTTTTTTTTTAATTTTAGAGAAAAATAAATAAATAACACAAAGTGATGTTACCCAAGCAAGGCCTTCTAATAAAGGAGTGGTCCCCTCACCCATCCCTCCCTACCTGTGCAAGTCCTGCTCACATCAGTTTCCTTCCATCCAATTAGGCGACCTGGGAGACCCAGCCAGTACCGCCCAGACGGACTTCGGAGTGGTGATGGGGTACCTCCAAGAAGCTTACAGGATGGAACCAGGGAAGGTTTTGGACACTCCACATCACTCAAAGTTCCATTGGCTCGATCCCTGCAGATTAGTGAAGAACTACTGAGCAGAAACCAATTGTCCACAGCTGCCAGCCTTGGACCATCTGGATTACAGAATCATGGACAACACTTAATATTATCCAGGGAAGCCTCTTGGGCAAAACCACATTATGAGTTCAACCTCAGCCGAATGAAGTTCAGGGGAAATGGTGCACTCAGCAACATCAGTGACCTTCCTTTTCTTGCAGAAAACTCTGCCTTTCCAAAAATGCCACTTCAAGCAAAACAAGATGGAAAAAAGGATGCGAGCCATTCATCTCCTGTAGATTTAAAGATACCACAAGTTCGAGGAATGGATCTTTCTTGGGAGTCTCGCACTGGTGATCAGTACAGCTATAGCTCTTTGGTAATGGGTTCACAAACGGAGAGCGCGCTTAGTAAAAAATTAAGGGCTATTCTTCCAAAACAAAATAGAAAAAGCATGTTAGATGCTGGACCCGATTCTTGGGGCTCAGATGCTGAGCAGTCTACCTCTGGACAGCCATATCCCACATCGGATCAAGAAGGAGACCCTGGCTCCAAGCAGCCTCGGAAGAAAAGAGGGCGTTACAGACAGTACAACAGTGAGATACTGGAGGAAGCAATCTCAGTGGTTATGAGTGGAAAAATGAGTGTTTCCAAAGCTCAGAGTATTTATGGGATTCCCCACAGTACACTGGAGTACAAAGTAAAGGAGAGGCTGGGCACTTTGAAAAACCCTCCAAAGAAAAAGATGAAATTAATGAGGTCGGAGGGGCCAGATGTTTCTGTAAAGATTGAATTAGATCCCCAGGGAGAGGCAGCACAAAGTGCAAATGAATCAAAAAATGAATAGGAATACTGTAGAGTGCCAATTACTGTACAAACTGGGTGAGCACTACTGCATTGTTCAGCTGTCATTGCTTGCACCTAACTTCATTTGCTGTGACACTTGTTTCTTTGCAGATTTTGCATTGACTTGTGTGTACAGTGGTGAAAGGTGCATTCTGAATGTTGCATATTTTAAATTTTTCTTGTGCAGTATGGCTCGGGATATGTTTGGCCTTTTGCATGTTTCTCTACAAAAGAGAATTGAGTTACCTCACAAAGAACAGATACATGGAAGTGGACTCCTTGCCTGTAGAGCCTGCATGCTTTTCTTTCTTTGTTTTTTGTTTTTTTTTTCCCTTAAGTTATATTTACTTTTATTTAAAAAAATTAAAAAGGAGAAAAGCCCCCTTTTAGAAATCACCTCATACTGGGAGCTTTATCATTTCAAATTGGAAAACCGCTTTATAAAGCTTTTCATATTTTTTTCCTACAATTCAACTAATTGAAGGATTAAACTAAAGGAAAGTCTCTTAAAAACAATGAACCTTTGAATTTAAGAAAATTGATTATTCGATGATAAATAATTATGTGGGTCAATTCACATTCTGTGATTATCTTCTTTTAAATTTACTTCACAAATTAGCAATCTGTTTAGTGCTCACCCAGAGAGAAAGGAGGTGGAAATGTGCACACACACTACCTTCAGAAATGCTTGAGTTAATTACTTTGTAACACTACCTTTGCTGTAATTTTATTTGGGATTTTCTAAGGGTAGAATTTGGTCTCACCAACAAGTGAGGATATAGCCTTATCTCATGGAGGACGAGCTCCCTTCTTACTCAGGAGCAGTCAGGGTACATTACATAAAGCAGTAGAGGATGCCTCATTTTAGCAAACTAAGTTTCTTTGTATTCTTTAATTTTTTGTTACAGATTTAATCATGTGCTAACTAATGACTGTATGTCACTGCGGCAACTAATTTAAACTAGATTCAAGATCTGTTTTATTGGGGAATGGAAGAAATATGTATAATACTACAAAAGTGGTTTCTAGATTTTACAGCCTTGATAGCTTGCCCAGATACCCCACATTAATGAAGGATTTATGTTTGTGTTGAAAGAAAAAAACAGCACCCCAAGACAACCTACTGTGATTTAGGTCAAATTTCACTTCTGACAAAATATGAGTAGTCAAGCTCACTGGAGTTTGTTTTTAACTAATCCAGATACTAATACAAAGTGGGGAGGGGTTGCTTTTGGGTGTTCATTTGTTGCTTTGCAATTTTTTCTTCTTTTGGCATCCTAAATAATAACCCCTTTTTAACTTTTTCTGATATTTAGCTGATTTTCATGGTTGTTTAGCACACAGTTCAGGACCTTTCAGATCATGTTTGTAAAAGCACTCCATGAAGAACATTTAAGCTTTCCTTTGAGATTGGCTTTTAAAATTACAGTAATCAAATTTAGAGTTTATTTTCTATAAATTTTCCAAGAATAACTACTAACAAAGCCCATGACATTAATTTTGCATTGTGACCAAATTAAATTATCATTTTGTG